GGCTATGTAGTCAACTCTCATTTTTTTTTTGTACACTAATCCCCCCTATGTTTCAGTTTATCAGCATGGCTACCATTTATCAAAGAATTACATAGCTAAACTCTGCATAACTCTTTGTAAATTTAGAGGTATAAATCTAGAACTCTGCTTCCGAGCAGAAGTGCCCATGATTGTCCCCAACTACTTTTTTTTTTTGTTATTTTCATTTTGCAACATATGTTAGAAACTGTTCTTTTTGCCTAAAGCTATAATGTATTGCTCCATCCTTCAGTTTTACGCAGGCAGGATTTTCACTGGCTTTCTGCTTAAGGGCTTCAAGAACAGGCATAAATGTTTCATATTCTGAACTTCCACTGGGAGATGCTATCTGAGCAAAACTTAGAGCCAAAATGTCAGCATCAAAGAGCAGTTCCTCACCTTGCAATTACTAGAGAAGTAAAACAAGGAAACTCCTTGTCCTGTGAAAACACTGACCAAAAGCACTGAAACATCTTACAGGACGACAGAGGCACAGCACTTCAAAACCAGAAAACTTGTGACCTTGTGAGGTGGGATATGGCTGCAGCAATGAGGAAGGCAAACGATACTTGGCTTTGCAGAAAAGTATTCCAAGGAATGCTTACAGATCAGATGCTCACGAGGATCTTTGGAGACCTGTTGGATCTTTGGAGAAAGCAGACGCAGTAGGGCAGGAATTAAATATTGGCAACTGGTATTTTTGCCTCATTAAGTGTGAACAAGGGCTATATTATACATGCTTTACTACATCTGTAGTTTATATATCATATATAGGGCCTTGTTTACTTGGTTTTTTCTGCCTTTCTTCTCTCTCTGCTCTATTTGTATTTCCTGATGAATCTGTGCTGGCTACTACTAAAAAAAAAATGTTTCTTGAATTTTTTACCTTCAATTATCTTCCACTGATAGAAATAATACACTTTATTTTCTATCTGAATGATCCAAAAATTACATGAAAGGGCAAAAAGCCTGCTCAGCCTTTTACATTTTTACCAGGATAAACTCCAACTGGCTGTAGTTGCAAAAGCACTGAAAAACACCCAAACCAAACGAAAAAGAAAACCCTACCAACCAACCAACCAACCAAAAAAGCCAACGGGCCTTTGTATCAAACTGCTGTTTAAAAGGAAAGGAGTTGAAGGAGTTAATTAAATAAATAAAGGGAAAAGAAACCTAGTGATCAAGAGACTTGGCTCTCTACTGTCCATAGTTCATGGCATTTTCTTAGGAATTCTTCAAGAATTTCTCATGGCCAATTTAGTTCATTTCTAGCTATAGCAGATTTCTCTATTCTTTCACCGTACAATTCTGAGTCCAGTTGGAAGGTAAGCCTTGCTTCAGGCTTATCTAAAGAAATATAAGCAACCTTCAGCTGCATGTATAGGAGGAGGTCTGCTTTTAAAACAAGTCATCGTTTTGCACTTACAGGAGTAAGCAAGGAATAAATATATGATGTCAGATGTTATCTACTAGGAAGAGTCTCAAGAAACCAATTGTCATTTTGATCCATGTTTGTTATGGGCAAAAATACCATTTTCTATCTGTGCTTTTGGTTACATAATACTGCATTAAAAAGAAACAGTTCTTCCACTCAGTTGCTCTAGTATTGGATCAGATATCACCTCTTTGCTAGCATTAATGTTTGAAGTTTGGAACCAGTTTTGAAGTGAGGACACAGTGCATGAGATTGCTGCATTCGCACAGAGGCTCCTATGTTGTAGACAATGAAGCATTAAAAGGCATTTTGTGTTTTTATTTTAAAAAGTGTATTTTATATAAATTCTGTAGTGCAATGACTTCCTATTCCATGTTACATTCTTTACATTATATGATTCCCCTGTAAACAGCTTTCCTGTATGTACTTTGCAGTTTGTGCGATACATTATTCCCCCCACCCTCTATTTGGATTAATGTGAGTATTCAAAAATTCTCCTGATTACCACGTGAAAATTGTTTAAATGTGAACATTTGGTTTCATCACTGAAAACTGACTGAAACTTTGATTCAGGATTCTGCAGTTAGTATAAAATATAAAAAATAGATTGTTTAATTTCAAAGTTTTCTCCCTGAACAATCTGCATTTTCCAGTGATACAAAGAGTCAGACTCCTCTCAGGTACACAGGGGAGTAACTTCATCTTAAGACTCCCTAAGTTGTTTTGAAATTCCAGAACATTTGGAGACTGGTTCCTGAACCTAAAAAAAGTCTCTGCTTACTGCCGTGGTTGGATGAAGTCTGAGATGGCTTAGAGATTTTAGAAAAAGAGAAAAATATTTTGATTAGTTTTGCATGATTTACTACATTACAATTCAAATATATGATGAAGAAAGTTATTCTGGTTTGCACTTCTTTTACATGTGATGAAGGGGTAAAAGTCCTGCACCTCTATTCAAGTAAATGTTTGATTAGGGATTTTGCATGAGCTACATGTTCAGGAGCGAATCAGGAGTGAAGACTAGAGGCACCAAATACCCAAACCCATGATTCAGCATAGTCAAAAACAAAGCAATAAAATTATAACAAAATCACTTCTAAAGCTTGATGTTTCTGCTTCCAAGATTTCTAAAATTACAACATGTATTAATAAAGATTTTTTTTTTTTTTTTTTTTTTGCTTGTCCCATTTCAGAGTATCTATGCATCTCAGAAATCACTTAAAATAGGGCAGTCAATAAGGGTTTGGTCTTCACTTACCTGACTAAGATAGTTAAAGCTCCAATTGGCTTTACTGGAAGAAAGTCTTGCTGTCCTCATTTACCTTTAATTCAGTAGCAATTTCTGGCAAACTCCCATCTGAGGAATTTGTCTGCACAAGGACTGAGGCTTTGATTTTACCACTACTGAATTTCCAGTGGTTTAAATGGGGCAGAATCAGGTTTGCCAGAAGCACAGATGTAGCTTGAGGGCTTCAAGAACCAAATCTCTGCTCCGGGAGTGAGTTCCCTATGGCTGGGCCTCTGCCTTTCCACAAAGTGCCACAGATCTGAGAAAGCTTCTGGAAAGTGCAGGGGTCAGCTAAGCACATAGCAGGAAGAGGATAAAAACCTCAGCATTGCCAGGACAACACAATTATCCTCAATGGGAGTTTTCTAGGGATCCAGAATATAGGATCACGTTCCACTTGGGCTTTATTTGGTCTTCATTAGTTCACTAGGACCTAAACGCAGATCAAATATGCTCATGTGATTTCATAAAACTGCACATAGAAAATACAGACCAACACTTTAGGCATATAAAAATTCACTGGCATTTAGTTAGAATCACTGAAAATATCTAGCAAGAAAAAGTAAAAATCAATATAGAAGATAATGACTAGAAAATAGAGAACTAATTTTGGAACAGTGAAACGTAACATGGTTGCAAAATGTTAAACAGAATGTCAAAGATAAAGTTGTAGGTAGTAACATGTTGCAGTAAACTGCAACTAAAGACAATTTATTTATTTATTTAGAGAATTAATGACCAGACATCTGAAGAAATAACCTTATACTTCCAATTTGTGAGATGACTAAAGAGAGGCATCTAAGTGTCATTTTGTAATAAAAACCTTCCCTATGAAAATAAAAAAAAATTTTTTTTTGAGGGATTTTGTTGTGCTCATGATTTGGTCCAACCACTGGAATCCACTTTTTGGGGCTTTTCCTACTTGCTTCTTTTCTATGGGCCAACTTGAGCAATGTCTGTGGAATTAGCCCTGCACTTTTCAAGCAGATGTCTATGTTGCTATAAAAAACCCGTTCTTCTACGTTCAAAGCTCCTGATTTTTTACTCATTCCAGTGACAGAAAATAACACGTAAGTGTAAATTAGCATAGGTCCACTGTGGCGAGCAGAGACCTGGTGTTATAAACCTTGTGTTGGTCTAAAGTGTTTCTAAGGCTGCCGTTATTGCTGTGTCACAGGCTCGACATTGCTTATTACAGTTCTCACCTGGAAGGAGCATTTCCTTCGTTTTGTGCATAGGGAACCGTGAGGCCGGGAGCCTGTGGAGCCGGGGGAACTGATCTTAGAATTTCTGAACACCTCATCAGCCTTTCTGTGGCCCTCAGCCCTCACATCTGTTACAAGGGAATACCCTATTTTGACAGGAACCAGAGGACAGTAAAAATACATAAAAAATCTGTTTTTCTAAAAGAAGGGCTGTTTTACGAGTCATGCTCATGTAGGTGCATACTTTTGTCTGTGACTGGGAAAATGAATTGGATAAATCTTTTACGAGTCAAGAAATTTAAAAAAAAAAAACAGCATAGGAGTTTTTATATTATAGCATAGGAAGCTATTGGTGCTGAGTAAAAACTTCATAGCTTTGTGTTTATATAATATTGTGTATAGTAGTGGTCAGATGGGTACTTTGCACTGAAAGCTTTGGTGCAACAGCTTTCTTCCATAGAACTGATGGAGAATTGGAGAGTATCTTCTACCAGTCCAAATCTTTGATTTGAAAAACACAGAGAAGCTTCTGGGCACGGGAGACCTGGGGCAAGTCTCAGTATGTGTCTGAAGGACTGTCTGTTTTTTCCCAACTATATCAGTTGTGATAATAAAAGGTATTACCTCTCCCTGCAAAGCTCACCCCTTTCATGTCCTTACACCATAATGGCTAAAGCAACACTGCCATTATTGACATATACKCCTAGAGAGGGGGGAAGAAATGTTATCAAGAACCCACAAGGTCATGTAGAAGCAAATATTGTTAAGTCATAAGAAAAAAAGAATATGGGGAATATTTCTTTTAATATCAAGTTAAAGAGAGAGAACTTTAAAACATATCTATATAGCCATTTGGCACTCTTTATGGCCACAGAAATAAGTCTGATTTTTATGTATTTTAAAATGCAAGATTTTTTCTTATTATGAAATGTTGGCAGCATTCTATAAAAATATCAAATCCTTCAAGTTCTGGTCATTAAATCTTTGTTTTTCCTCGCGGGATCATTAATTAAACTGACAAATGCAATAAGTAAAGTTATGCAAAAAAAAAAAAAAAAAATCCTACTATGATTTACAGCACAGATAAATTTAAGTACTGTAGTCCCTTAATTAACAGATATACCCATGAGCTTTTTAACAGAAAGCAAGATATGTGAGATGCTTTAAGTAGAAGTTGCAATTTTGCAACATAAGTCTGTACAAAACCTCCAGGCAGCGCGCTGTGAAGGAATTACCTGTGTCCCAGGAAACKTTTTTTCCATAAATCCTTGTTAGCRGTAGCTTTCCCCCCAACCCCAAACTATTTACAAATATATGCATTTTGCAAGCWCAAAGCACCTTGTTTCACGTTGTTATGAATGCATGCATTGACATTTCATCCTTTCATGTGCAAATTCTAAAATTGTAACCAGGAAAACAAAAGAAAAAGTTAAAAGAGTTCAAAATCTGTCTACAAYCATAAGTGAAAGGATCAAAAATGTCAGATGTTGCAGAACACAGGCTCCTAATAGAGCTCTCTTTATTTTATTCACTGTTCTTGAATCATTTTTTTCTTTTTTTTTTGAAAATTTGTTACAAAAAGCAGTCTCTTTAAATTAAACAGTATTTAAACTAAAACTCTTCATGCCATGCAAAAATAATATTTTATGCACTTTTTTTTTTGAGGCTTCCCACATTTTAGTTCATAGGCATTGCTAACTGTGGCTTAAAAAAAAGTATTTTTATTGCTTTTTGAACTAGTCACATGCTAGTTTCACGTGTCRGACAGTAACCAGTTTCTCCTGGATTTGAATGAATTTCTGGGGCAAACAAATGGTTTTCCATTTTGCAACCTTCTTGGTTACTGTCTTTCTTTCCCTCGCCCACAGCATGGTAAATGTCTTGAGTACAGTTGTGGCTCATGCTTTTGGGAGAGGAGGAGCTGACCTGGGGCTCCCCTGTTAAATGGCTGCCATCGSTGTGTTGATCTCCACAGCAATTTGTCTTGATATCCTGCTGCTTTTCAYGCCTTATACCACGTAACTCCATAAACTCTTCTTCTTCCCCAGTGTCCATTTCGGTGAAGCTCCTTCTCTCTTTCGAAGGGAAAGTGAAAACCTTTTGTTTGGGAAGCAGCGGGGATGATTTCTTGGAAGGTCCCTGGTAGAGCACGGCTGCGTCGGCACCAAGCAAAGGCCGTTCGCCTTGGGGGGAATTTTCTTCTAGCAGAATGGTGCTGATGTGCTGCGGGGTGGCCTGGGTGAAGTCTGCTCCTGCCGTCACCGGCAGCGGCCGCGCGGTGCTCGGTGGGGTTTGCGGAGCACCACCTCTGTTGTCTTTAAAATTCACTTTGAGGGACCTGGATTTTAATGGGTTGCTGCCTTTCAGAGAACTTTTGGGGCTCTCCGTGGCAGTGTCGAAATGCAAGTGGCCGTGCAAAACACTTTGGGATCCGCTGCCATCGCTGATTACAGCTCTGCCAATTGGATTATAGTCAAAGGTGATATCAGTTGGAGAAAGCATCCTATCTTTTGGGAATGGTATAAACTGAGAACTTTTTACTCTTTGGTTGTCTTCTAGGTTAACGGAATCCGATGGAGACCTCATTTGCAAGTGATGAGAGCCAGGGAACAGAGAAAGTGGAGACCTCTCTGTTTCTGTGAAGTCAGTGGCACAGCTGGCAAAACTATCAATACTAGATGTGCTTCTCATGTCTGTCACTATGTCGGTAGGTCCAGCTGGCAGTTGGTCTCTCTGACCTGCAACTTCTTCCATTTCTATTTCCTCTTCATACCCAGGTGGTTTTGCTGACTGGTCTTGGTAACCAGCATTCAGATTAGGCTGCGACTGAGTTTTAGTAATTTCATTATATAACATCTCCAGCTTTTGGGCGCTCAGGTGTTGCGGGCTGGAGGATGCTGCGGCGTTGTTCAGCTGCTCGTGAGAGTCTTGCTGACTAACTTCTTGGTATTTGTTCTCATAAGACTTGTTCGAGCTTGTTTCAGACATTGTCCTCCTGGCCCATTTCCACCGGCTTGGGGACAGGTGGCTGTCATCAGGTGTCTCCTTTGGATTGTCTGCTTCTTCAGGCTTACCTGAATCTACTGCTACATCAATCATTTCCATGCTGCGAGCAAAGGCATCTTTCAGGTTCATGGAGACAATACTGCCATTTCTTTTAGCTCGCTCTAGCGCTTCTCTCCTTTTAATTGCTTTCTCCTGTCGTTTCTGCTCCTTGTAAAACTCTGAGAAATTATTCACAATAATGGGTATGGGCAGAGCTATGACCAGCACTCCAGCAATACAGCATAGTCCTCCAACTATTTTACCTAATAGCGTCTTAGGATAAATGTCACCATATCCTACTGTAGTCATAGTGATCGTTGCCCACCAAAACGACGCAGGGATACTGGTAAATTTTGTAGCATCCTCATCCTTTTCAGCAAAGAATACAAGACTCGAAAATATCATTATTCCCATGGCTAAAAATAATATCAACAAGCCCAATTCATTGTAGCTCCGTCTGAGAGTAAAGCCTAAAGACTGAAGGCCCGTTGAATGTCTGGCGAGTTTAAGAATCCTCAGTATCCTCATAATGCGAAATATCTGAACCACACGCCTGACATTTTGGAACTGCAGTACACTTTTATTGGACTCTGTGAGGAAAATAGTGACGTAGTAYGGCAAAATCGCCAGTAAATCAATAACATTTAATGGGCCTTTGAAGAACTTCCACTTATTTGGTGAGGATAGAAACCGCAAAAGGTACTCCATGGTAAACCAAGCAATGCACACAGCTTCAACGTGTGCTAGCTGAGGGTTGTCATTTGGCTGCCCAAATTCATCTATTTCTTGCAGCTCTGGCAGTGTGTTAAGAGACAAAGCGATAGTGGACAGTACGATGAACAGAATGGATACGATGGCCAAAATCTGTAAAACAAAATAAACAATGTTCTGATTAGAAAACTATCCCGGGCACTGATGCAAGTGTGTTTGGCACCTTTCATGTCTTGAAGCATCCCAAACATGTAAGAATGTAAGTGCATCTGATGTGAGTCTTTTTTATTCTGGGAATTTATTTCTCCTGCTAAGTGAATCATGGACCAACTCATCTCCATGTAGTCCAACCAGAAGACATGTTCTGGTGAATCTACTCTGTGTACTGTGTTATACATCTCTTTAGAGTTTTTGCTTTAAACACAAAACAGAAAAAAAAAAAAACCAATTTTAGTAAAGTTTTTGCTAAGATGAGGAAGGAGAATGAAGGCAATAATATTGCATACGTAGGCAGGGCTGAACCATGATTTTTTTAATGGCCTGTAGCTATCATAAAAGCCAGACAAAAGGAAATATTATTGTAGAGCAATCACTACCTTCTACACTGTGGAAGTTGGTTATATTAGGTTTCACTGTAAGTCCTAAAGCTTAAATAAAGTAGGTAAGGTTCTCCACTCTGCTGAAATTACTGTGAAATAATGAATGCATACTTGAGTTCTTTTATATACTCAGTAATATAATTATACTTTCAAAATTCAAAGAATAAATAAACACATCCTAAGCATGGCACAGAWCTGAATTGTAGAGCTTGCAGCTTCTGCCAGTCAGACTAATTGCTTCCTCATTTTAGCCTGTGTCAAAAAGTAAATAATAGTGTAGGAAGAAAAGCTGTATAACACATGGACACAATCACACAACAAACAATGATCTGAGAAAATTAAATCATAACAACCTATCTGCCTTGTGTCATCAGTTGAACTGGTTTTCAATTAGGCAATACTGACTTTTCCAAACTTTCCATAGGAAATTTATTTCATACCTCAATGTCTGGGTACGCAGACAGGCAAGAGTCCATACATTTAGGAAATGTAACATCCCTTTAAGCAGGAAGAAGAATCCTAGTATTCCACCCTCATTTCCAAGCTCGATGTCCAGACTCCAAGTTAGTATCTTGCCATGTCTTTCCCTTACAAAGACCTGTTGTTTTCTATACTGTCAACTGAGGGAATAGACACCTTGCATAAGCTGACTGCACTGCCCTCAAATATGTGCCCTGAACAGTCAATGGGGCAAAACSAGGCTGATGAGACTGACTCAAGAGCCTTATATTTTTAGGTGCGAGTGTTTCCATTAGGCTTTCAAATGGCACTGACACACTTTCATCCTTAGCTATGTTTTCTATTTGGCCTGCATGGTAAAAATCAACCATGATGTTTTGCATCACTTACAGAACAGAAGAAGGAGTAAAAAGAGCAGAAGGCAGCRCTTGCTTTTGCATGCCTTTTGTCACAGAGGAATGCACAGTAGGGACGGGATCGGCCCTACTGTCTTCTTAGTACTCATCCATGGAAAGAGATCATTCTGCCAGTGCTAACTGTCTGGCAACCACACTTAGTCTGTAGCAGGATTAAAACAAACCAGGCTTTAATTAAACTTAGAATTCACTTAGACTGAAAGTGAGCGAGCAGACACAAGTCAAGGACATGTTTTTGTAAAACAAAAATGGAAACATGCAGAGACTATATTATGGCCTCTGTATGAGGGATACTTTCCTGTGTGGCCTTGTAAAAGTGTATTTACACTCAAGAAAGTTTTCATCTCCATGAGGTAATATACCCACAAATACGGAAGATACATTTGTRGACTAGATGCAAAGTTTATGGCAATCAGTTCCAATCCACCACATCCTTTACTGTCTACCATCTTCAGCTTGTGGTACTGAGTTTGCAATTGAGCAAAATGAAAGGTTTTGCTAAATAGCTACCTTGTATGCCAGGCTYGCTCTGTATGGGCCCTGTTGTTGATGTCTGGGGCTATCTAAAAAGGAACTATTTGCAGCAGTAAAGGCAGCACTACCAATTGAGTTCAACAGTGCAAGGACAGGCACACTTAGCACATTTTTACATCTGTACAACCTGGACAAATACAAGCACATTTTATCAGACAATCACAGCACTTAGAGCAGCAACATAGCACTGCCTTCAGCAGCAGCCAGCACTATTCCTCACTAGACTCTGCAGAATGATGTCAGGAAGCAGCATCTCCTTCCCTGGTGTCTTCACTGCCTCCTTGCCTTGAGACACCCAAGTCAGGAGCAGCACCTCTTGCTTCTGCCCCATGGTTCTGCCTTGTGCTGCTCTGCAGAGGACAGCGTTCAGCTGCGCTTGCTTGTTGGCAGTTCTGTATGCAAATGTTCCTGTGTGTAAATGTTTGTGCGTGTSACAGCTCATATCACGGACAATCTGACATGCATAGAAACTCTTACTTTGAATCTGAGTTCCTTTGAATCCTGAATTCCCTTGAATCTGTGAATCTGAGGTTTCYACGGGCAATGCTGAAAATGTTCAACAAATTTGCTACCAATTGCAGGATATTAGCCCTTACTGGCTAATGCCCTTCAAAAAAGCCCATCAAATGGTTTTTAGCAACAGACATTTAAAAGGGAGGAGTTTAGAGAAAAAGCCTATTTGCATCTGATCTCAAATGCAATGCAATGCAATCCTTAAGCATGTCAATTCTATCCAGTACTCACAGATTTGTTTTGCTGAAAACTCTGTGGGAATAGATGTATAGTACGTGTCTACAAATGCCTCATTTCTTAAATATTGCCTCATTTCTTAAATATAGGAAGAATTTGTGGCCAGATATGAAAATTAGACTTATGCACCAATGTAAGCTTATTCTACAAGTATTACTGAGAAATAAACACGACACCCTCCAGAAAGACTGTGTGCTTGGCCAGGCTATGTACTCTCCTCTCTACTGCCCTCTTTATCACTATCAGAGCTGAATCACTGCTTGCAATGGTGAAGAGAGAATTGCACCACACAATTGGAAAGATGTCTGTGTCATTCTGCMATTAACCTTCCAAATAGGCATCTCTTATAATTATGTTGCAGTGCTTGTAAACCATCATTAAAAATGGAAATTTGCCATTGTTTACTACTCTTCTTCCCTTCTAGAGAACACTTTTCATCTCTAACATAATCTCTGAGTACAGATTTCTGGCACAGCACTTACAATTCCACATAGCATAAAATGTGTAGTTTTTGAAAAATAAGATGGATGAATAATTTAACAGAATAACATAAATTTTATCTAGTTTGCAGTTTTATTGCAATTGCCCTTTCAGGAACATGTGTGATAATGGCTCTGACGGTATGTATAATCACTAAACAACTTTCTTGCTGCTCTTGATTTCTTTCCTTGATGGCATTATTTAGAATTCTGACCTTTCATTTCCACTTTTCCCTAGATCATTACTATTAATTTTTTTAAGGACTTTACTTGAATTTTCTGCATTGACCTTTCAGGGACACTTATTAAGCCTGACATGAACCTCCATGCATGAAGGCTAAACTCTTAATATTGTACTTATCTGGGGCCCAAGTGGTACGCAGACTTTTCTTTCTGCCTCTTTGCACTGGTCTGAATGTCACTTTAAAAGCTCGGCATAGAAATGCTCATTTAGTCTTCAAATGAAGTCTTCACTGGAGACTTCATGACTACCTCCACAGATACTCCCTTATCTTCTCCTTGAAGAATCTGTGCAGACTTCCTAGACATGAGAAGTAGCCATCTATTTCTTCTTTCTCTCTCTCTCATCATTAGCCACTGCTGCATCTTCTCAGCTTGGCAGACTCCCTTTAAGCTAATGAAGTCAAGTATTTCTGGATGTTTATTTCAGGGAACCATGAAGTGCAGGGGTGGCTCTTCTTAAATGGCATAGGTCCAGTGCTTTGCCATCATATCAAGATTGCCTAGACTGGAAACCAACATATGTAGCAGCGAAGCTGGGGGCAGGTACTCAAAGGGACTGCTTCTGCCTCCATAAAGCTGGGCCTTCCAGGTCTGAGGAGAGCAAGGGGAGGTGATGTGCTGCACACCAYCTCGAGCATGGATGGAAGACGACTGATGATAGCAGGCAAGCAGCAGGGGGGCAATAACAAGCAGTTTAGTAGGTGGTTGACATTTCACCACCAGGTCACCCAAACCTCTGTCAGCGAAGCTACACCGTTAGAGGTTCCTTAAAATAAGATGCTGTCTGTTTGCTTCAAGTGAGAGATTACTGCTATCCCAGCATATTCCTTACTTCAAAACTTCTGTCACGATKTTTTTGTGCATAACAGACCGACTTCCTGTTTTACAGCCCCGCTTTTCTCTTTTCTTTTTCTTTCTTTTTTTTTTCTTTCCCCACAAAGTCTTCCCATGTCCACTCATCATCTATTTTGTCACTGACTTTCCTGCCCTGTTGACTAATATTTGCCACTTGCCTAAGAAGAACTTGACCCTCAGAGGCAGTAAACCTGTTCAGGACAGAATCCTACATTCCTTGAGAGCAGCTTGGCATACTTAAAGAGGAAATGTAATAGTAATGAGATACTTTGCACTCTGTGATAGGTGAATGGCCGATAGATAGAACAGCCTTCAGTATTTATGCTGTTACCATCACAGCAATAGAATACATCTCTCCTGCACTCTGGTGGACACACTGCATTTACTTAATGTCTCGATTATTCAGTTAGGGGTAATCTTGGGATTTACACCACCTAGAGTTTCAGCAGTAAGATTTAGTAGAATGTGGGTTGGAGCATTCACTTGTGATCAAAGTAATTTGGTATAAGGCATTATTCCTGTGGATAATACAGGGAAATTCCTGAGAATGTGGACTGAGACAATCTGAACACAGGGGCCATTACAATCTATTARTGAGGTGTTAGTACATACTAGAAAGTCAAGTACAACATCCCTAAAATTTTTAGGATGTGGTTACCAAATATTGTGATCAGAGAGTGATGACACATCTCCAAATCTGGATATATTGGACTGTGACTATTAGATGCATCTTCAGTGGCTGGCACATGCCTGAAGAAACCTGCTGTGAGTAATTAGCAGCAAGACATGGGGATGATACAGGGGGATCCTGTTGGCCT